TGTGTATGTATGCCTGTGTGTGTCCGACTGTCCGTATGTTTGAATGCGTCGATTTCCGAAGGTATAAGAGCTAGAGACATCAAATTTTTTTTTAAATGTTCGTAATTACAGCGCGGATATCGAGTTTATCATTAATTAATTAATTAATCGATAACTCATCCCGATCTTGTTTTATCGATAAAAAACCTTATCGAAAACCAGTTATAAAATTATATCTTCTACACCTTTATTGCTAGAGTCTCCAAATTTTTCATGTATGCTTATATGCAATTAATACAATTTCGGTTTTTGTTAAAATTTACCCTCCACCCCTATATTCACCCCCTCACCATCACATTTGTAAAAGGCGTATTTCAAATACTTGAGACTTGTGCTTTAGCAAATACATGCATATCCATGTTATATTCATAATCTAAAAGTTTTATGAAGATCGTATGTCCACAAAAAAAGTTATTAAGCAATTGAGTTCTCATAGTAAGCGCACACTGCCGCCCATGCGTGTTTATGCTTGTGTGTGTATGTATGTGTAAATGTTTATGTGTATGTGTGTGTGTGTGTGTGCGTGTTTCTTGTGTAAGCTGAAAGACGGGAAAAATGATTGAAATAGCTATTACTCCAAGGGTTCAGGGGATCTCGTAGTCGAGCAGTCTCGACTAGAGCTTTCTTACTTGTTATTATTTAATATGGCTTGGGAAGCCCTCAGGATCCTTTTTGGTGTAAGACCTACTTAGGTGAGGGTGGTTCCACAATCATCTGGTCTCTCTCTTACTTTCGTTTCATTTATTTATTATACCCTGAACCCATTTTCAATGGGAAATCAGGGTATAATGGTTTTGTTTAAATGTATGTAACAGGCAGAAGGAGGCGTGGCAGACCCCACAAAGTATATATATTCTTGATCAGTGCGACGACCTGACTTGATTTGGCCTTGTCCGTCTGTCTGTCCGTCTGTCCGTATGTATGAACGCGTCGATTTCAGAAGGTATAACAGCTAGAGACTTCAAATTTTGATTAAAAATGTCCGTAATTACAGCGCGCATATCAAGTTTATCATTAAAAATCGATAACTCATCCCGATATTTTTTTATCGATAAAAAGCCTTATCGAAAACCAGTTATAAAATTATATCTTCTACACCATTATTGCTAAAGTCTCCAAATTTTTTATGTATGCATATATGCAATTTATGCAATTTCGGTTTTTCTTAAAATTTACCCCCCACCCTTAAATTCACCCCCTCACCCTCACTTTTGTAAAAAGCGTATTTCAAATACTAGAGACTTGTGCTTTGGCAATTACATGCATATCCATGTCATAATCATAATCTGAAAGTTTCATGAAGATCGTACGTCCACAAAAAAGTTATTAAGCAATTAAGTTCTCATAGTAAGCGCTCACTGCCGCCCATGCGTGTTTATGCTTGTGTGTGTATATGTATGTAATTGTTTGTGTATGTGTGTGTGTGTGTGTGTGTGTATGTGTGTATGTATGTGTGTATGTATGTGTGTGTATGTGTATGTATGCCTGTGTGTGCGTGCGTGCGCGCGTGTGTGTGTGTGTGTGTGCGTGTTTCTTGTGTAAGCTGAAAGACGCGAAAAATTATTGAAATAGCTATTACTCCAAGGGTTCAGGGGATCTCGTAGTCGAGTAGTCTCAACTAGAGCTTTCTTACTTGTTTTCCTAGGTCCGTGTATATCACGCGCATATCAAGTTTTTCTCTAAATATCGATAACTACTCTCGATATTTTATTTTCGATTAAAAACCTTATCGAAAGCTAGTTATTTAATTATATCTCCTATACCTTTACAGCTAGAGCTTCCAAATTTTAAATGTAGATCTATATATATTTTATCATAGCTCGCAATTAACTGTTAACACTTTTTTGTTGTCTGCAAAAAAGTGTTTTTCACTGACACAGTCAAAAAAACTCAGACAGAAACTGTTTTTGTCGCGTCTGGCTTAGCTCGCTCGCGCTCTGAGGGAGACAGTTATTTCTGTTTTCGTTTCCTCAAGTCAAACACTGATCGTTTGCTTGAGTTAAATGAAGCAAACGGTAAGTTGCGTTTGTATGGGTAATCACGCGCGATTGCTGCGTTCTTTTTGTATGTATGTATGCGTGTATTTACATGCAGAGTTTTTTTAGTCAAAGTGTTTTTTGCTGAGAGTCTTTGTGTGAGGGAAAATCGTGTTAGTTTTAGGCAACACTCATGTGAGAGCGGCACACGAAAGAGTCATTGCATTGCGTCTGAGCGAAACAGATTCTAAAGAAAACAAAGAGTGACGCTCAGAGCGAGACGTGTCTGCACAATTTTTGATGATTTTGATGATGCGAAGAAGAGCATAAACAAAAAAACGATCAACTCTCATTTGCAAGCTCTGTATTTTATACAATTTTCCACCCCCTTACCCTCACCTTTGTAAAAAGCGTATTTCAAATACTAAAGACTTGTACATACATTTGAGCATCATAATAATGTTCTGAAAGTTTCATTAAGATTGTACGTCTAGAAATTAAAATATTCATATGTGTGTTGTAACGAACCTTCGGTTTATCCCGAGTCTAAGCTGAGCTAGTTTCAGCTGACTGTGAATTCGTTGCCAACAAATTTATTTGTTGAAGCCCCTGCGATAATTAATAAGTCTTGTGGTTTGGGTTTTATAGCGCAATGGTATATTTTCTTAAATAAATATGAAATGTACACGTCACTTATGTAAATGTATGCTGGCTCGCTGGTTTGCTTAGCGACGCACACCTACTGAGCGCTTGTTCAACGCACTCCGGCTGGGAGAGTGTTGTGCTGAACACGCTAGCTCACCGTAAGGATTTGAGAAACGCCAGGATCTGGATCTGTAAACTATCTCGCTCACTCACAGCACAACACTAGCTTCGTTCACTCACAAGCACTTCTCCTACGCACGGCTACGCGAACTCACCCAGATGTGCAGGCCTCGCTTACGTTGCTGATATGCACCGATGTCCTGATCGGCGCCTACTGATGATCTGCAAGGATTCCCACTGGATGTCCTTGTGGTTCCCACGATGTCCTTGCTGTTCCCACGATGTCCTGGGAGTCCTGATTTACCACTCGCGTTGACTTTCACTTGACTTTCTTCACGCACTTTCACTATATATCTTCTCACCGGTATATTTTCGACTTCCTCGTATGGAGCTGCTGATGGCCTTTTATACCCCAGCCACAGGCCCTGCTTCGTGTGGTAACGGGGCCTGTTCGGCTCTGGAGCGTGGCCTTTCTGTTGCTCGTGCCCATAAAAACGGTAAAGTGGCGTGATCTGGGTGACGCCACTTTCCCGCCAAATTGCGTGGCAGCCTCCCATTGGCCGAAGTACCGTTGTTGCCATGCGAGTGAAAATGCTCACTGCCCGAACGGCACCTCGGCTAACGGTCACCGATGATCGTCGTGCGTGCGACGCGAACCCATTGCTGAATCTGTAGGAGCGAAAGCGACCGCCTCTAACAGGACTTTGACCCCCTTTCCAGTGCGAGGGTCGCTCCTACAGTATTCGCGTCGCTGTGTGGAGCAACATGTATATGCACGTATATGCATATAAACGCACAGCAAATACGTACGTTCATATACACTCATATGTGCATACCTATATTGCTCCTCATATGTTTGAATGCGTCGATTTCCGAAGGTATAAGAGCTAGAGACATCAAATTTTTTTTTAAATGTTCGTAATTACAGCGCGGATATCGAGTTTATCATTAATTAATTAATTAATCGATAACTCATCCCGATCTTGTTTTATCGATAAAAAAACCTTATCGAAAACCAGTTATAAAATTATATCTTCTACACCTTTATTGCTAGAGTCTCCAAATTTTTCATGTATGCTTATATGCAATTAATACAATTTCGGTTTTTGTTAAAATTTACCCTCCACCCCTATATTCACCCCCTCACCCTCACATTTGTAAAAGGCGTATTTCAAATACTTGAGACTTGTGCTTTAGCAAATACATGCATATCCATGTTATAATCATAATCTAAAAGTTTTATGAAGATCGTATGTCCACAAAAAAAGTTATTAAGCAATTGAGTTCTCATAGTAAGCGCACACTGCCGCCCATGCGTGTTTATGCTTGTGTGTGTATGTATGTGTAAATGTTTATGTGTATGTGTGTGTGTGTGTGCGTGTTTCTTGTGTAAGCTGAAAGACGCGAAAAATGATTGAAATAGCTATTACTCCAAGGGTTCAGGGGATCTCGTAGTCGAGCAGTCTCGACTAGAGCTTTCTTACTTGTTATTATTTAATATGGCTTGGGAAGCCCTCAGGATCCTTTTTGGTGTAAGACCTACTTAGGTGAGGGTGGTTCCACAATCATCTGGTCTCTCTCTTACTTTCGTTTCATTTATTTATTATACCCTGAACCCATTTTCAATGGGAAATCAGGGTATAATGGTTTTGTTTAAATGTATGTAACAGGCAGAAGGAGGCGTGGCAGACCCCACAAAGTATATATATTCTTGATCAGGGCGACGACCTGACTTGATTTGGCCTTGTCCGTCTGTCTGTCCGTCTGTCCGTATGTATGAACGCGTCGATTTCAGAAGATATAAGAGCTAGAGACTTCAAATTTTTTTTTAAATGTCCGTAATTACAGCGCGCATATCAAGTTTATCATTAAAAATCGATAACTCATCCCGATCTTATTTTATCGATTTAAAAAAAACAGTTATAAAATTATATATTCTACACCTTTATTGCTAGAGTCTCCAAATATTTAATGAATGCTTACATGCAATTTATACAATTTCGGTTTTTGTTAAAATTTACCCCCATCCTTAAATTCACCCCCTCACTTGTGCTTTGGCAATTACATGCAAGTTAACGAATGCTCGTGTCGTTCGAAGGATCGACAGTCGAATCCTAGGGTTCATTGAAGGTACTGTCGCCGTATTGCACGGGCGACGACCACATCTCGATGTATACTTACTAGTAGAAGTTGGTTGGGACAAATAAGAACTCAAAATACTTCAAATAAACGTTATAACTTTTAATGATCAAATGTTTTGTTAGTTTTGGTTAGTTAGGTCTGATTGATTCGACGAGTCGTCTGGAACTGCCCTTTCAGTTGGCCAGTGGTCAGCTCTCCAGTTCCTCTTCCAGGCCTGGCGAGCTTATCGCAGTGGCAGAGCAGCAGCAGCGGAACAACGGCGTCTGCAACGTCAGCGCGTATTTTGGCTGCCGTCGCATCAGCGGTTCTTGGCGTCGTTGACCCCATGGCAGCAGTGGCGTCGGCGTAAGTAGGTTCTAATAGCCGCCGCTGAAACTGCGCATTGGTTTCCGCTGGCACCTCGAGCGTCAGCGTAAATGCAACTGTGTTGCAATAGCTGGGTCGAAGTGGCGCAGCCGCTTAGGCGTCAGCATAATGTGTTGTCAAGCGGGTAGTCAAGGCGTGGGGCGAAGCGGTCAGATATTCGAGACGTTGAGGGCAGGGGCAGGGGAAGAGAGACAGTGCTGTGCACTGGCTGGTGTTAACTCCTCCCCCCTTAAATATCTGCGTCCCGCAGATCAAGCGCTTTTATGGTCGATTGTAACGATGTCCTCCGTCTGAGTACCATTGGATTCCACGTCTTTGTCGGTTTCTAGAGATGTTTGTTGGTGTGTGACTTTTCTCCAAAATACGAAGATTACTAATATCACTACAAAAATCGTCACGATTTCCGTTGTAGACGATATCGTTAGCCTTCTTCGCATTACCTGGAGCAGGTTCAAGTTCCTTGTACTTAACCCGTGTATCAGTTCCAGGTTGAGGTGGTAGCCCAAACTTGTTAGATTCGTGACCACGGTGGGCATGGCTATCAGGCGCGTGTGCGAGTGGCTTCTGAACGTTTTGTTGTCCGCAGTTACCGTCTCGTTTGCGAACTGGACAAGATACGTCCCGTCGAGGCTGTAGCTTTGTCCTTCTGTATAAATGGTTCCATTGTAGTTTGTAAGAAACAGCGTTCCGTCCTCCAGTAGCTCTACTACGCGTCGACTAGATGTCACGTAGTGGCATTCGGCGTTTCCTCCCTTCAGTGTTCTAGGGATACAGTCTGATTCGCTTAACGGGGTCAGGTGCTCTTCCGCACAGACGCTGGTGTTGCCTATTGTAAGGCAGTCCTTAGTTATAGCGAACGTCTCGTCCGGGGCCACCAGCAACTTTCCGAAGTTAGCGTCGATTTGCCTGTTTGCGCGAATCGCTGGTCGGATGACCAACATCTGATACTCTTTAGCAACCACCTTTGGCAGCGCCAATACATAGAGTAGCATGGTGCCATTCGTTACGATGATAGGCTTCGCGAACTCCGTGGCTTCTACAGCACTCTGATACGGCAAAGAGTCCATCTCTTTGAGTAGCGCCTGTATCTCCGCCTCGTCTAGTAAGTTACTGTTTACTAGGCCTGCCTTCGCAAACTGGCAAGCTCTGCTCAGTTCACCCACTTGACTCTCCAGTAACATTGTCTTATGCAAAACAATCGTGGCAGCCTGATCGTTGCTGTCAATAGTGTTGACCTTCTCGATCATAGAGTTTAGCGCCTCCAGGGACTTTCGTGATGTCTCGAAGAGCTGGTCATTGATTTTATATTGTTGATTGCTGTTCTCCACGAGATTATCGCGCACATTGAGGATAGCGTTCCAGTCTGAGGCGTCTGGCGATCCTGCAATCCATTTCCATGCCGATCCAAGCCATTCGATTGAGCGAACCTTCCTTACTCTCGACAGCTTCGAGAGCATCTGTTGTGCTTGCTCCAGATGGTGGAACGCCAGGACTCGGATCTGTCCCGCGTTCAGTTCCCGCGCTTCATTCCTCGTTGCTTCGATGGCTGTTTCTATTTCTTCTAAGTTAACACTGTGGATCAAGTTGAAATAACCATCAACTCTTCACCCGCTGCCCTGTTTCAGTGTCACCAATGGGCCGTCGTATTTGAACATGCGAATCGCTCGCGTCGATGTTAGTAATAGCAGTGGTAGTAATGGGATGCACAAACTGTTGAGTTACTAATACAATAAAGTTTTTTTTCCTTTTTTTTATGCTAACAATTTTTCTTAAGTCTAAATGAAACTGAAAATCAAACAATGTAATTTTTTTATTTGGAGAAAGGCAAAAATGTGTATATGAAACGTGTGGGTGTGAGTGTTTGATAAGGACACAGCGTCCTCCACTTGGCATAAGAGAAGAAAAATACAGTAATGTTACTTATGTAAGCGTCCTCACTTTTTCACGTGGGACTTATGAAAAAGTTTACCTGTTCGCGTCTTTATTGTAACTCTGTTATCCTGTTCGACTACTTCTTTATTAAAACGTTTTTTATCTTTACTTTTCTTACTTGTTCTTCTTGTTCTTGTTCTTACTGTTGTTCGCTGTCTCTTGTTTATGTTGTAGCAAACCCCGGATATCCTCATATTCCCTATGTTTTATTTCTAAAAGCTTCTGTAGGTCCATGGTAGCGGCTCGATTTAAAAAAACGTCAGCAGGTTTCCTCTGAGTAACAGAGTGAATTGAGTTATTGTATCTATCGACCGAAATATCAGCAAGTTCATTGACCGTACAGGTTGGGTATTCTTGCTTGAGGCAGCGATAGATTTCTAGGAAAGTGGAATGAAACCTTTCTACTTGACCGTTAACTTCACTTATTTGTGAAGGTGCGTAATAAACTTGGATGCCCAAGGTCTTGAGGAAATTCAGGACTGTAGGGCAAAGTAAACCCCGTTCATTATCGGAAACCATTGTCTTTGGTACCGAGAAATAATGCAGGACTTTAACCAGTTCTTCACGCAAATGTAGTGCCGATTTCGGCTCTAGAGGGAAAAGCTTAGCAAACTTGGAAAATTTATCTAAACAACTGAGATATTTCTTTCCCTCTAACATGAAGATGTCTATGTGCAGTATTTCACATGGACGAGTCGGTATGGGCGTAGGCTGCAGGAATGGCTTGTTTGTATGTCGGTCATATTTTTGATATTTACAAATCTGGCAAGTGGCCGTGAAGGCCCTAATACGACTAGCCATTTTCAGGAAGTAACAGCTGTCTAATAATTGTAATCTGACCTCTCTCGCATTCCTATGAGCTCGGGAGTGTTCCCGGTCTATAGCCAACATAATTTCATTTTCGTCAACGATGTCTTTGACGAACTTTTGCGCTATTCTGATTTTAAAGAAGGAAAATGACTCTCTGTAACTCTCCTGAAAAGACTGCAAGTAAGCGTCAGGAATCTTTACTCCATTTATGACTGTCGGACGTAAGCGCTCCTTCAGTATCGCGCTTAAAGATCGTCTTGTGTCATCACTTAGAGGAATAATATGTCTGGTATAGCCGGGAAATGGCGTTTCCAGAGAATAAGCACTCGCATCGGAGTTGAAGATTATCTGATTTCTAAAGACGTTGATTGGAGCTTCCACGTGAGGTACGAAGTCCGTTGCGTCTTGGAGCGAGCTATGTACCGTGGCCACAGAATCTGTATCTAGTGCGTTTAACTGAAGTGGGAGGCGAGAAAGTGCGTCCGCCACTACGTTAGACTTCCCAGGTTTATAGAGTAACTCGCAGTTATACTCTTCAATTCGTGCCTTCCACCTATTTAATTTAGCATTATAGTTCCTATTTCCTAGAGAATATGTAAGCCCCTGTGTCTGTGAATATTTTAATGGAACCAGCACCATAAAGATAAGAGCGTAAGTTATCTAAGGCCCAGATGATTGCCAGCATCTCTTTTTCGTTGGCGGCATAGATTTCTTCAGTTTTATTTAGCGACCTAGAAATGTACGCTATTGGCCTGTCCTTCGCATCTTGGACTTGAGAGAAAACCGCACCCAATGCATATTTGGATGCATCGGTAGTCAGGTGGAATGGCTTATGAAAGTCAGGGAAAGCTAGGACCTCTGAAGATGAGAGTAGAGTTTTTAACTCTTCAAACGCCTTCAAACATGACTCATCAAGTTCGATGGGAACTTTCTTTGACTGTGAAGCTTTGACTCCTGCGCCTTCGCCTCTTGTCAGGTTGGTTAGTGGCTTTGCGACTTTTGCGTAGTCTTGAATAAATTTCCTGTAGTAGGAAGTCATACCAAGAAAATTCTTTAGTTCTTTGACGTTAGAAGGCGGTGCTAAATTCTTGATAGCTTCAACTTTTTTGGCATCCGGTCTTATACCGTCGGAGGTAACAATATAACCTAAGAACTCCACCTGAGTAGACAAGAAATGTGTCTTCTCGAGGTTAACTTTCAACTCCACTTCACGAAGTGTTTTGAAAATCTGTCGCAAGTGTTCCCAGTGGTTTTCATAGCTATCGCTGAAGACGATTATATCGTCTATATAAACGTAGCATATTTTACCAATAAACGGCCTGAGCACATCGTCGATCATGCGCTGAAATATGGCGGGGGCATTCCGCAGGCCGAAAGGCAATCGAGTGAACTCATATTTGCCATTTAGAGTCGAGAATGCTGTCTTTTGCATATCGGTTTCTTTCATTGGCACTTGATGAAATCCTGAAGTCAGGTCAAGTGTCGTGAAATACTTTGCCGCGCCAAGACTGGCTAAAGTTGACGTAATGTCAGGTATGGGATACGCGTCTGGTATGGTTACCGCATTAAGGCGTTTGAAATCTACCACCATGCGATACTGTTTCTCTCCGTTAGGTTTAGGTTTCTTGGGAACCACCCAAATTGGAGAATTATAAGGGCTCTTAGATGGTTTGATTATACCTTCTTTCTCTAACTCTTTAATCTGTCTCTCTACTTCTTCCCTCATATGCGCTGGGTATGGGTAAATCTTGGAGTAAATAGGCTCCTGAGTCGTGGTACGTATTTCCGCTCTCACTGTTGTCTTGACCGTGCGGCCTGGAGTGAGAGGCTGAAATACGTCCTCAAATTCTTCTAGTAGAAGATCAAGTGCCTTTCGTATTTCGTCTGAGTGTATGTCATCCAATAGGATATTTACGGATCGCGATTTCTTGGCAAACAACGGAATCTTTACCCCTGGGTCTATTGTGAGAAGATCTCGCTTCCTATCTATGACTGCATTTAACTCTCTAAGACTGTCATCGCCTATAATTCCGTCAAACGACTGCAAACCCGGAAGTACATAAAAAGTAAGGGGAGTACTTTTACCTATTGAATTGAAAAAAGAACCTGTTAGTTGTTGTCTAATGGGGATACTACCACCCGCGGAGTGTACTAGAAATGGTTTTGGCAGGTCGGTACACCCGGTGGCTACTCTGGGGCAAATAAAGTTCTTGTTGGCTCCAGTGTCTATCAGAAACTGCAGCTTTGCCCCGTCACACGTACCATATTTTATATATGGTACGCTAGAGAGGCATTCGTCATAAAATTTACTTGCCCCTCATCTAGCTGTGCCAATTGCTCACCAGTCTGATCCGACTCATCCGCTTGTGATGAGTATCCGAGCAGACCAGCTTCAACTGATTGATCTGACACCTCGTAAGTTGGTGCACGATTAGTTGCTTGTACAGTGTCTTCATCATTAGATGAACACGGGACATCAGTGGGGGCTTCCAAATGGTAAAGTCGTTGAGACTTTTTAAATGGATTGGTGTTACCGCTGGGAGCTCTTTTGACGCTGCCCGACGCAGCCATGTTCGACCTCTGGGAGTGCCCTGACTGGTTGGATTCCATTTTCAGTGCAGGTCTTGCTGGTTGTACTCCATATCTCGGAGTAAATGGTGGTCGAGGAGGGGTATTGTTGTTCATGTAGCCCTGCTGCTGTGTTACATAACCAGCGTTACCCGAATTCAGAAAAGGTCGAGGATGACGAAATGTCGAATTGTTTGGTGCCGGACCCACCGGTCTTGAATTCCCGGAGAAAGCATTTCTTGATGCAAATGCTGGCCCAGCTCTCATGCAAACATTTTGTAATTCGTTGCACAATGAATAGGCCTCAGGCAGGTCTTTTGGCCTATGGACCATCAGGAATCTAGGCAAGTCGCCATTCAACCCACCTATGAAGGCATCTAGAGCTTTCTTTCTATAAATATCCGTCAAGGCGGATGAAACTTCAGCCGTGTATGGGCCATTTCTTAGCTTGCCCATTATCAAAGAGAAGTAGCCGTTCACCTTATTAAAGAAATCTTCTACACTCATGGTGCCCTGGAACATCTTGCTCAACTGAAACTCTAGCGTGCTTAGATCCCGCTTATCTGCATAATGCAGTGCTAGTACGCGCTTCATCTCTGGCCAGTCGTCATCCTGTACCCCGTAAGAGGTAAGAGCCTTATCCGCAGGACCTCTCACCTTCTGCCTAATATAGGTTATTATGGCCCTATACTGACGTTTGTCCCTAATCAACTCGTAATCCGTGAAGATACTATCGATTCTGTTGGCCCAAGATTCGAATTCTGGCATACCTCCTTCGAAGGTTTGTAAATCCTTCACACATTCCGGAATCTTATTACACTCTGCTAGGTCAAAGACATTGCGAGGACGAACTAAGGGTCGCGCCTCTTCAACCGTGGGGTTGCGGGATTCACGTTCCCTGGCAAGGTCACCCTCCAAGGAGTTGATCTTGGCAAAAGCTTCTTTTAATTCCTCCCTCTGCGCGGCATTCTGATTCGACAGCAACGATAAGGTTGCCTCGAATCTACCTAGAGACTCCCTCATTTCGGACAATTCCCTCTCGGACGCGGACATTATTATTTTTCCTTATTCGGGTGACGATCAAGACAACAAGAGATACAATAATATTAGAGACGATAATATAATGATACGATAATGATGAATTATTTTTTTTTTTTTTTTTTTTTTTCGTTTTATTTTTATTATTCTTCTTGTTTTTATCTTTTTTTTATATATAGCCAAGTGGGGTCAATGTGTCACTTACCCGGTGTCAACGTGATTCTATATTCCTAAATGTGTATATGAGTTGTGAATGTGTTGTTTTTTATGCTCTGATCTGTTGAAGATACAAAGTTGAATTAGTAAAATATCAAAATAAAGTTGCAATTAAGAAGCAAAGCAAAAAACAAAGAACAAAAAAAAATTTTTTTTTTTTTTTTTTTTAATCCTTTGTTCATTTTTAATTAAAAAAAAAATAATTTTATTATATTTTTTTATTTATTTTTTTCTCAATATTTTATTTTATTACTATTACCAAT